ATTTATTTCTTCTTCTTCTTCTTCTTCTTCTTCTTCTTCTTTTTCTTCCTCATCTCCTTCAAGACAGGGTCTCCCTGTAGCCCCAGCTATCCTGGAACTCACTATATAGACCAGGCTGGCCTGGATCTCAGTCTTGAACACTTTCATACCACTTTAACACCCCTCCAACTAATGATGGCCAAAGCAACAGAATTCAGTAGAGAACTCCAAAACCCAACATCCCCATCAAACTAGCATTAGACAACAATAAGAATAAGAAATAAATCCTTTTCTTTCCTTTTTGGTGCTGGGGGATTAAACCCAGAGCTGCACACATTCTAGGTAAGTAGTTTATGACAAAGCTGCCCTCCCCTAACCAGATAATTTGATGATTCTTGTTATTAAAACAATAAACAGCCTATAATTTTTATGACTAAATACATATGAATAAATAGTTCCACATATTGCCCTCTAACTATGACATAGCAGTGGACACTGTGTAATGATCTGTAACACATATCAAGATGGCTTCTGATAGTTTCTCCCTTTCTGAGTCCCCTCCTACATTGAATCATGGCTGGCCTGTGTGACCAATAGAAGAAATAGCACATGAAGCTAAGATTAAGTCATTAAGACATGGAAATTTCTGCCACTCTCTCTTAGGCCTTGTCATGATGCTGTTGTGGCTGCTCAACTGTGAGTGTGCCACCTGGCAAGGCAGCCTAGCTTCTGTCAGGCCTTCAAGGGACAGGGCCCCAGTTGGCATCTGTTGTGGTCATTTGTTTTTTATTTGGGGGTGAGGGGGTGGGTTGAGACAGGGCCTCAGTCTAGCATAGGCACGCTACAAACTGGAAATGTAGCAGAGACCTTGAACTGTTCATCCTCCAGCTACTTCCTCCCAAGTGGTGGAATCACAAGGCTGGCACCCCCATTCCCAGCTCTGGCTGACTTCTTGACAGCTGCCTCAAGGGAGACCCAGATCCAGGGACCTACAGATAAGCTGCTCCTGAATTGACAGAAACTGGGGGGAGATAATAACTATTATTGTTTTAAGATACAAAGTTTTAGGCTAGTTTGGAACCTGGCAAGAATTGTATAGTCCATGACAGCTACTTCTGAAAACTTCCAGATTCTTCTTTTCCTCCAGGTGCTGGGGACTGAACTCAGGCAATCTACCTGCCCAATTTTTAGATTTTTCTTTGCTTTCAGTTTTTAAGAAAAGGTCTCATGTAGCCCAGGCTGGCCTTCAACTCACAGTGTAGCTGAAGATGACCTTGAACTCCCCACTCTCCTGCCTGTACCACCCAAGTGCTGGTATTTTAGGCATACACCACCTTGCCTGGCTTTTCGGTTTCTTGTTTTTTGTCTATTTTTGTTTTTGTTTTGTTTTAATTTTTTATTTTATGTTTATGAGTGTTTTGTCTGCATGTATGTAAGAGCATTGCATCGTACAATGCCCCAGGAGGTCAGAAGAGGGTATCAGCTCCTCTGGAGCTGCAGTTATAGACAGTTGTTAGTAACCATGTGGGTGCTGGGAACTGAACCTGGGTTGTCTTCAAGAGCAGTGGTGCTCTTAACAGTGGAGCCATCTTTCCAGCTCAATAGTCTAATTTTTTTTGATTGATTGATTTTTATTTATTTATTTTTATCTTTATTTTTGTTTGGGTTTTATTGTTTGTTTTTTAATTTTTTATTTATTATTTTATGTGTATGCGTGTATTGCCTGCGTGTAGGTAAGTACACCCATGTCGTACAATGCCTGAGGAGGACAGAAGAGGCTGTTGGATCCCCTGGAACTGGAGTTGCAGACAGTTGTTAGCGATCATGTGGGTGCTGGGATTTGAACCCTGATCTTCTGCAACAACAGTGTTCTTAACTGCTGAGCCATCTCTCCAGCCATGTTTTGTTTTTTTTTGTTTGTTTGTTTTCTTTTTGAGACAGGGTCTCCTTATATAACCCTGGCTAGCCTGGAACTTGCCATGTAGTCCGGACTGCCTTGAACTCACAGAGATCCAGTGACTCTGCTCCCCGGGTGCTGGCATTACAGGGGTATGGTGCCATACCTGACTGAATCCCTAGAGTCCTCCCTCCCCCAGTACTGGGGATTGAACCAGGGCCCCATGTATGTGACCAGTGCTCTACCCCTAAGTTATAGCCTCAGCTCATTTTCTAGGCTCTTTTTACTTTTTTAAAATTTTTATTTATTTATTTATTTATTTATTTACTTATTTATTTATTTATTTTGAGACAGGGTCTCCCTGTAGCCCCAGCTGTCCTGGAACTCACTATGTAGACCAGGCTGGCCTTGAACTCACAGAGAACCGCCTGCCTCTGCCTCCTGAGTACTGGGATTAAAGGTATCTGCCACAACGCCCAGCTTCTAGGCTCTTTTTAAATTTATTTTATTTTATGTATATGAGTGTTTTGCCTGCATATATGTGCTTGCAATACCTATGAAGATCAGAAAAGTGTGCCAGATCCCCTGGGACTGGCATTATGGCTGGTTGCTAGCCACTGTGCTGAGAAATGAGCTCAGGTGCTCAGGATGATCAGCTGGTGCTCTTAACGGCAGAGCCATCTCTCCAACCCCAACTCTTAGATCCTTCATGGTACTCACTTTTTAGTGGGTCACCACTGCTTACCGTCAAAACAGTACACATAAAAAGTGTCACTTTATTCATCCCCAAGTCCCAGAGGTCATATCAACCCTGTAGCCAAAAGGATGTGGGGAGGGATCATTTGGTAATGGCAATTTTGAAGATCAAGTGTGAAAATTGTAAGCTGATTTTGGTGTCTTCTTAAAATCTTTACACAGGATGGAAGCCCCTGGAATGAAATTTTTAAAAGATTATATTTTATCCTTAGGATAAATATTTTAATCAATACTATTATTACCATGAACACTTAAAAATGTCTACTAGAAGACAAATAAATTACCATATGGACCAAGAATCCAAATGAAACACCTACATTTCTGTCACTGATGATAGAATGTGTGAATTGAAGAAGAGCCACAAGCCTCATTAGGAAAGCAATATAACCATAAATCCCTTAAAGGTGTCTAACTGGCCCTAAATGGGCAGCCTGGCCTTGCTCAAGCCTTAGCAACTGGTCACTCCCTGGACTGAGAGAGACTGTTTATGGAGCTGACCTGTCTCCGTTACTGCTCTAGATAACTCACCCGCCTGTCTGAGTAAATAATCTTCAGAAAAGAGACCCTCAAGGACACCAGACACAGAGTCAACCCTTGCAGCTGTATGAGGCAGAGTTCCTATATGAGACCAGACTGCTCCCTCTTCAGAGCACAGAAAATCATTCCTCGAGGAAGAATTTATCAGCCTTTGTTGGGTTCCTTGGATCCGGGGAACCTATTCCTTGCCTGTTGCAGGTCTGGCTCCGACTCTTATTTCTAAACTTTAAACTTCTTCCTTTTTCTGTCCTCCTAAATCTAACAACTGACATAAGCCAATATGGAAAATGAATACTTTTTGTTTTGTTTTTTGAGACAGGGTCTCCCTGTAGCCCCAGCTGGTTTGGAATTCACTATGAAGAACAGGCTGGCCTCTGCCTCTGGTTCTGGGCTTGAAAGCCTGAGCCACCATAACCAGCAGACTCGAAATACTTGAAACACCATAGCTCCAGTATGGGTTGTAACAGCAATGACAATGATAAAACACAATTAATATGTGCTCCACATGCATCTTACACTAATTTACCCATTTTTTTCACCCACTTATTTCCCACAAAAAGAGTGTTCTGATTGTTTTTCTTTGAGGGGGAAGATTTTGGAGACACGCCCTGAACTCCTGATCCTCCTGACTCAGCCTCCAAGTTTGGGAGGCATGTGTTACCACGCCTGGCTTCAGATTACCTTGTTTTAAGATGAGTCTGCTAGCTAAATAACTAAACATCAGTATAAATGATGTGAAACTGCTGGGAGTCTATGTGATAATCCTCAGTAAGGAAGCTTGAAGGACACTTCTTTTTGAATCACAGTCTTTGTCCTTTAAAGGAATTTACTAGAGGGCCAGCAGAGATGGCTCAGCAGGTATAAACACACACTTCTTCCGTTTCAGCATAACTGACTATAACTGCAGCTCCAGGGAATTCAACATCCTCTTCTGGCCTCTTTGGGCACCCACACGTTTGTGGCATACATCCACATGAACTCACGCCTACGCACACTCACACACACACACACACACACACACACACACTCTTT